ATTAAAGGAGGAAAAGCTTCCACAGTTTCGGATATATGAAGCAGTCTAGAGAAAAAAATGCCGTATAAAAACAGCAATGATAATTCCATCTCTCTCTTTCGGAAGCTTGATTTGAAAGTGTATGGCAGTTCCATGTAACTTTTATAACCAAAACTAGTCATTTAGTAAGGGCGAATTTCAATTGTTGGCTTGAGGGTCGATCTAAATTTACAGAGTTCGTTGATGGGCAGTAATACTTGTCCTTTCGTTAAATTTTAAATTATAAAAAAGGGAAAAAAATTAAAAACTCATAAAAAATTAAGAATTATTAAAAAAATTTAATGATAAAAATAACTAAGTTTTAATATTTAACTTTCATAAAAATAAAATATTGTATAATTAAGGATTATCAAATATATGATCTTTGATAGTGGTTATTAGTAAGGTAAATTTTTGAACTTATGAAAAGATGAGACGTCAATAAGCAATGTTTTAAAATTGAAATCAAATCAATTAGTTTTGGCCTTTGATTTTAATTAAACTAATTTAACCATTTAAAACATCAATTTATAAATAATTTTGTTAAATAATTTACAATAAATAAATTTTTCGCATACAAAGTACGTAACAATTACCACAGGTGATAAAAACACGCAGCTGTAATTGACAGGTTTAAAGAATGAGATATTCTGTTTAGTGTCATTTTTACGTGTTTCTATAGTTTAAATTATACGTACACCTTTCGGTGTCAGTCCACCAAGTGGCAAAACATTTGAAGTTGGACTTGGACGTTGAGGGTTCGATTCCCACGTGTCCCTCTTTTCTTTTTCTTTTTAGAAGGTTAAAAATCTCATTTTTAACCCTTATATTTAAAAAAAAAAAATTTTGTCCTTATGCTTAAGAAATTTTTCTTAATCCCAAAATTTACCTTTTAATCATTTTTTAGTCTTTTCATTATCTTTTTGCTGAGATGGCTTGTTAATTAAGAGAATAAGTTGATTTTTTTTTCCATAAAAAAGACATGGAAATGCCCAGTAAAAAAAAAATTGATAATGTTAACCAAAAAAATTATATTATTCTCCACAAAATGAGTTGGCAATGCACTGAAAAAAATTGATAATGTGGGCAAAAAAAATATTAAACTACCATAATAATTTTACTAGACCCATTTAATATTTAATTATTTATTCTTTTTAATTAAATTTAATAGTTTTAATGTAATTTTTTTAACTTTTTAAACATAAATTTTATATAAAAGTTTAACCATTTTCAACACAAATTTTTGTTCTTTTAATTCCTCTGCAAAATTAAAATTTCAGAAAAATTTTCACAGCAAATTTGTTCTCCTAGTTCCTCTACACATTTCAATTCCAAATCAAATTTATTCCCAAAATCTTGAGCAATGTCACCTCCTCTACTAATTTCAATGGCTGCTTAACCATGAAATCCAAGATCAATGACACGAAAAAAATCCTACATCCAGTACCCAAGCCAAGAATGCTGAAGCAAAAAAGAGCAAAAGAAAAAGACACAACCAAAAAAACCCATATTAGGGTAAGAAAACAAATGTAGAAATTTAGAGAAAAACAAAAGGAGAGGCACAGAAAAAACTCAAGAAACAAAATAATGATAATAATAATAATAATAAACCAATAGATCTGTACCAAATTTAGGGCCTGTTTGGTGTGGATTATAGTAGCTTCAGTTTTTGGATACTATTCATGTCTCATACATTTAAATTTCCCTCTTAAAAACTTACACTTTTAAATATTTTTTTAACCTTAAAAAGCTCTTAAACAGTAAAAGTTCAAAAGCTTCAAATCCAAACTTTTCATAAACTCCCTTTTTACTTATTTTTCATTCACTTTTTCACCTTTTTAAAAGCTAAAGCTCTATTTTCCCTCCAATAAAAATTTAAACTTATCACTCATAACAGTATTCAAAAAGCAAAAGCTATCACAAGCCACACCAAACAGGCTCTTAAAGGACTCGAATTTCTTCTTATCAACCATTTCTTGATTTATACAGGAAAAAAAAGAAAAGGCAATAAAAAGGTGATTCTTAGGATTTGGGTGTTAGAAACCGAGTAAGCGATGGTGAAGTACCTAAAGCCAAACCCAATCCATTGTTTTTCAGGTTCGCCATCATCTTTCAAGGCCACCATCATCCTTCAAGGTTGTTGATGAG